GGAATCGAACCCAGCCACCTCCAGCATGGTCTTGCTTTGTAGCTGCGCCTTTACTGACTGAGCTAAGGGAGGCCCCAATCATCATCCGTGAGCAAATCAAATTGATTGCTCAAATTTATTTCATCAGAAGGGTTTTATTTCAAATTTATTTCATCAAGAGTTTGCCCTTTTCTTTTACGCTTAGGCGCCATGGTGGCAGTAAATTATTCAAATCGACTTCCAAGCAGATTACTATAAGAATCTGAAGGATCGAAGAGGAATTTTCCAAATCTATATCCAAGAAAGATTACCTCGGGTAGGGTCCAAACAAGGATCGAAGAGGAAAAAGAGTTGAACAGGGTAGAAATTTTACAGGTTGAGCACTGAAAAGTGCTGTTTAAATTTGTTGTAGCTTTAGGTAGTAGTAACATCAACAATCAATACGAAACTATCGACTTTAAATTGGCTCACTACTTGACTAGCCTATTGGTCCCAAGCAAATCGATTAACGTACCCCATTATAGTATAAATTCCAGTACTACACTATGTTTGTTTTGATTTGCTATGAAAGTTTGACAGATAAAATGAGGGGTTAGTGGATTTTCCTATGTTTCGAGGGGTGAATCGATTAGCTTGGGACCGAAGATAGTACCAGAGCTGAGCCAAAAAGTTGAGCTCGTTTCTTCGGGACCTTCTGGTCTTAGAGTTACCTCTATGGTAACACTTCCTTCAGCAAAAAGCAAGTAGATCCGCACGGCAAGACAGCACGATGCGAACTGCCTTCTCATCGCCTGGGATTGAGCAATGTGAGAGGACCCATACAAAGGTAATCAAATATGATCTTTCGACCAGCAAACTCATCTGTTCCCTTACCTTTGAAAGGAAATAAGATGAGTACCTACCTTGTTTCATCGACCGAATAGCCTCAATCGAACTGAGACTATCCGAGAAGATGAAGTAATGGTCTATGGGCATATCGGAAATCATCCCCAATGCGAAGTTGATTGCTGCCAGCTCAGCAACATAAACGGAACAAGGTTCCTGAAGTTTATGCAAGGCGGCTGAGTATTCAATGAACACATCAAAGCCAGTGGATTCATCAATGCGTGATCCATCAGTGAAAAATCTTCTATTGCAATTGACTTGTTGGTACTTTTCAGCAAAAAATACGGGGAATTGAGAAGTCGAAGTCGAAGTTGATCTGGAATAGACTGTTTTATGGAGAGATCATAGTCAATGGGAGAAATGTAGTTAGTAAAGCATACACGAAGGGGGTTATAGCACGGAAGGCTAATATCTGGTGACATATAATTAAGAAAGATTCGCACGAATCTAGACTGGATGCTCAATTCGAGCATTTCTTCGAAGTTTTCAATCACAAGGTTGTTACTGACACTACATTTAATCAATATTCTTAATGAGAACTCCCAGAAACGGTTCTGCAGGGGTTTTACTCCCGCTAGAACCTCTAGACTCATATTGTGTGTTGAATGCATACAGCCAAGGACAATACGTAAACAACGATATTGACTGTGTTCCAATTTAATTAGGTGGCTGCTTCTTGCTGAGAGGAAGCAAAAAGAGTCATACTGAAGAACTGAAAGAATAGTCGTTTTATCAAGGGGTTAGTCACTCAGCACATTGTGCCGAAATTATAATCGGCACAGTTTGGGCACATCCATCGGCACCCTTTCGGCATACGATTGATGTAAATGAAATGGGAGCACTGCTGGACAACTATCATTGAAGTTATGCACAACATTACGTGCTGTTTTACTGACGTAAGAACTCAGACCAGCAGTTCACTTATATATCAAAATACGAAATGTAGTTTCTAACACCCTTAGCTCAGTCGGTAAAGGCACAGCTACAAAGCAAGACCATGCTGGAGGTGGCTGGGTTCGATGCTCGGTCCGGTTTAGGAATTTTTCGGGTTGGAAAATTTCTCGAATTCCCTGGGCATATAGAGTATGATTGGGCTTGCCACACAATTATACTAATGCAAAAATGGTACAGGCATCGGAAGCGCTCAATTAATAACTGTGGAAGTGCATCTATAGAACACTAAGTTGAGAACACGCAATAAGCTAATATGCGATATGCAATAAGCTTGAAATGCGAGGAAGAAGAAGAAGAAGTTTCTAACACAGATAAACAGACGTTACACTTAAATCCGGATCATCGTTAGCGCATTTATTGATTGATTTGAAAATTATTATTTCCGCGAACTACTTACTGCTGCATTGGCATCGGATCACTTTGACGTTTCTATATATTTTTTACCTTGCATGCAACATTGTGTGTGACTTAATGAGCATGCTTTTTTTAAACGAGAAACCCGAGAGATGTCGTTTCTGAGGTATATGTTTTCAAGAAAAACTTATCTAAAAAGTTGGGTCTGTTTGTCTGTGGTTCTACAGTGTGCTCAAGAGAAAGAGGCAGTTAATTAGACCCCATTAATACCCTTAATTCAAATAATGCTGCAATTCACACAAAACAAACTACAGAAGTCTATTCATCATCCTCTATAGTCGGTGTCAAACAATGTTCCCCAAAGGCTCCAACTGTTTCCGGCCTCTGATAGGCCGTTGCACTGTGCAAATTGTCTGACAGTATGTCTATGGAAACAGAATCAAATGCGCCCTTAATATCCAAAAAGACTGAAGCCAATTGCTCCTTGTGCGCAAAGGTCAGTTGAATATCAGCTGAAAACATCGCTAGACAATCGTTTGTTCCTTTACTCTTTCGGAAACCAAACTGCGTATTTGAACGTAGGTATTTTGATTCAACCCAATGGTCAAGTCTTGATGGGATCATTTTTTACTAATGATTTTCTCAGGCATGATAACATAAAGATCGGACGGTAAGAATTCTAACCAAACGCTGGTTTCCAAGGCTTTTGAATAGCTATTACTTTAACCTGTCTCCATATTGAATTCCATAAATGAATTATATAGGTTGAGTAATCGTATTTTAGCGATATCGGGGAGGTTTTTAGAAGGTCGAATTTGATCATATCGCTTCACGGAGCAGAATTATTTGATGAAATTCCAGCATTGTGGATGGTTCATTCAGCTAGCCGTTACTTCGGGCTGTATCCCGTAAAGTTGGTTGTGCTGGTACAGAGTCTGGACAAACCTTTTTAGCGAAGTCGAATATCCAGTGGGAGGACTATTCTTCACTCGCATTGGAAGATGAGCCTTTATCCAAAGCGTTGCCATCGAGGTTTCTCTACACCCAACCGGGGGATGTAAGATTCTCTTACAATTATGTGGGATTCATCATCAGAGGATGTTAGTGGAGACCGCATGAACCGAGGATGCGTTATACCTAGCTGCGGTCCAATGCAAGAAAATTGGAGACCGAAAAATGTAGAGTGTATTAGTGAGTGAAATTAGTTATGTCGAAAAAAAAAAGGAAACAGATTGCCGCGACTGGACTCGAACCACGAACGTTGCGATCAAAGACCTGTGCCACTGCTCTCTCCATGCTCCTAAATTTTGGTTCATGAAAAAAAAACATGAAGCGCTCATTTTCTCGCATACTCGACTTCGTATGCTTTTTCTGCTGGAGAGATTCGAGGCAAGTGTGTGCGTCGTTCTACAATGTTCTACAATGTGCGTCGTTCTACAAGCTTGCTGGTATAGTCGAAAGCGTAGATAGAAAACAAAATAAAACATTCGTGGCGATGTTCATGAACAGAGGTTGATAGGAAACGGAACTAACATTCATTGTAATAGATTTTTGGTTTGCGTGTAGAAAGTCGCTGGATAAAACTATGCCAGTAATTTCGTTTCTGTGCTTTTAGTAAGCTTTTAAGCTTTTTTTCAAGCCTTAGATGCTTTTCAAAAAGCTCAGATCTTTCATGTCTACGATAATCTTTAAAGGCATCGGATTTCTCAAGATACAACTTTGTACATTCGTCATCCCATCCAGGGGTGGCGTGTCTACTTTTGAAGGATGCACTTGGAACACGTCGTTTCTGAGCTTCTAATGTGCTTTTGAAGATTAGTTCGGTAAAGAAACGATACTCGTCCAATGGTGGTAGAGGATCGGTAGAATCAATACCACTAGGTCAAAAGGAACTGACTGATCTGTTTTTAGACGACCACTTTTGATTGAAATAATAATTGGTAAGTGATCACTATCATGAGGATCATTGAAAACCTTCCACTGACAATCTAATAATAGTGAGTTAGAGCACAAAGATATGTCAAGACCAGTGTTCAAGATAGTCAAGTTGAAATCGTCGCACAAATCATAGAAAATACCCGCTCTATTGTCATCGTATGATTCGCCCCAGCCAGTACCGTGTGAGTTCATATCGCCCAGTATTAGAACTGAAGGTGGAAGGGTATTAACTGAGCTCCAAAGCTGACGGTGGTTTATGGAAGTTCTTGGAGGTAAATATACAGAAGCTATGCAAAGATCTTTGTTCTTCACATTTATGTGGCAAGCGACAATTTCAATGCCTAAAATTATTCGGATTTAGATTTTATAGAAGGAGTAGCATTTTTTGATCCTCAAAAGAACGCCACCATATGAATCATCTCGGTCCAGGCGGATAATGTTAAAACCGTGGAAGTTTAGTTCATCTTCAGAAGAAAGCCAAGTTTCACAGAGTGCAAATATATCACAATCAGAATTGTGAATCAAATACTTGAACGAGTCTAATTGAGGTATTAAACTACGACAGTTCCATTGTAATAAACGCACCAACCGACATGACAGCTCATAGAAACTACATTTTTTGAATCAATCAGCTCAACTTTCAACTCAGTAGTCCGGTTAAAATTCTACACCATGGAATGCATTTCCACAATAAATTTCCGTTTGGCAGATATTTTGACCATCCTCCGAAGTACGTTTTTGGGCTGTCTAAACGACCTATGCTCCAAATTCTGTCGTATTTCTGTAGAAGTAGTCCACGTAGCCATTGACGAGGTATCGCTAGCACACAAAAAAAAAACATTTCTTTGAAGTTCTCTAACACAGTCTTCCGTTTCTCCCTCCGGCAACAGCACGGCGAAGTGAGTAAGCAGCTAGCCGCCTCTTCCAAGGCCGCATCGGACGCCACCAAGGGCAGAGAGGAACTGCGAGTCCAACTGGACGAAATCCAGCAGAAGCAGTCCGTCGTCGAAGAACAACTGCAGCAGAGTTCATCGGAAGCCCGACGGGAACAGGAAGCGGTCGTGGAAGAGCTGAAAGCCGTATCCGAAAAGTACGAAACCCTGCAGAGTAAGTACGAAGAGATGGAAGCCAACCGGCAGGCGGAAATTGCCGAACTCCACATCAGCAAGGAACGGGTTGAGGAGGAACTGAAGACATTCCACAGCGAAAAGGAAACGCTCCAGGCGGAGAAAGGCGCTCTGGAGAGCAGCCTGGGAGAGATTCAGCAGGAGCGGGAGCAGTTGAATCAGCAGTACGAAGATGTGCTGGGAAAGCTGGCGACGTTGCATATCAAAACGGAAGAGCACACGAAGGAGGAGGCAACACTGCAGCAGAGCGTCAGCCAGAAGGCTCAACAGGCACAAGGTAGGGTTAATGCTTCTTTTGTGGTTCTCTAGATTGTGCTTATTTGAAGTTCACGTTCTTGTTTGCATGTCTGCACACTTTTACACTATCGAATTGAGTGAGTTTTGCACCCGACGGTGTTCTTTGACTTTGGTTCGTAAATGAAATCGGGGTTCTAATATGATAATTTTAAATTCCTCAACAGAATTGGCGGACAAATTGGACCATCTACAACGGGAATACGAATCGTTGCAACAACGGCACACCGATCTCGAAGCAGCCAAGGCCGCCCAGGAACAGGAGTTCAACCGAATCCACGAGGAAGACCTACTCATGCTCGACTCGCTGCAGAGTGAAATGACTGAAAAGGTTTCGACACTGAATGCCGAAAAGGATGATCTTTTTGCCGCCAAGGAGGACACATTCGTACAGTTGATCACACTGCAGACGGAATCCAGCCAGCGAAGTTCGGACTTCGAGTCACTGGAAAAGGATTTGAAGAATGTGATTGAGCAGAAAGATCACGAGCTTGAGGAACTGCGGGTCAAGTATCAGGAGCTGGAGGAGAAGTATCAGGTAAGGTGGTTTTGGATGTTTACTTTTTTCTGTGGATACCGAGAAGAGGGATTTTTGAATTTGTAAAGTCAAGAATTGCTCTCTCGGGTGCACATTGTCGTTAACCCCCCTCATCACATTTGCATCCTGGATTCATGAGTAAATAACCTAGCTTCCTGTTAATCCACCGTCAAAGCAGTTTATGTATCGCTATTTGTATGTAAATAACCCCCGAACATCACTGTGTAAGGCTTCCCATCCGGTATTGCTAGAGGTAAAAGTGAGAGATCACCCGATCATCTCTATGTTGAATCGTTCCGCTTCGGTTTAACCAAAACGATTGATGTTCTATTTTGTTCTCACCCAAATTCTTCCCAAGTCCCTCGATGCAAATATGGACCGACTGCTGGCCGAAAAGGGAGCAATCGAGTCTGACCTGCAAGATTTACTTCACCAACAGGAGGAAATGGATCAAAAGTATCAGGATGCATTGGGCACGATCAAGAATCTGGAAAACTCACTGGTGGATACGAAGATCTCCGGCGAAACGGCACTCCGCACTCTGCTGGAAGCCTGCATCAAGTCGTCAGAGAAGCTTACCCTCAGGGCGATCAGCGAAAGCGAGATGCCCGGTGCCAGTGGAACGCCGACCTATTTCCTGATGATCGCCGAAGAGCTGCAGGAAGTTCTGTCCAAGTTGACGATAGTGCACGAGAACTACCTGAGGGACAACTCGACCAACGTGGAATCGCTGGCCCGGAAGGTGATCATCGGAGCGCACCTGCTGGCATCGGCCCACGTGCAGGGGATGTCGATTTGCAACCGGTCGGCCAATATCGAGTGTGGCGAACGTGAGTATGATTTTGGTCGTGTTGATCGATATTGTTTCTGAATAAGCTTAATTTTGAGAATTTTATCCTTAATGCATGCACTATTTTTTGTTAATTTTTCACTGTGTAAGTATTGATCTCAAAACAAACAAAAAATCATATTGATGTTGAAATGTTCTAAACTGTTTTTTTTTTTCATCTGCAAATCCGCAAACAGGCATAGCCGAGGAGATCAAGGAACTGGGTGCCTCGATTAATGGCCTTTTCCAGTCGCTGCAGAAAACGACCGAATCGGCCACCGTAAGCGAGAAGATCGCCGATCTGCGGGGAAAACTTCAAGGCGTGACTAACATGATCGGTGACCTGAGCAAGCAAACCGATGGAACGGAGAACCTTGGCGACCTGGTGGAAAACGAACTGACCAGCATGGACAAGGCGATCGAGGAAGCGGCATCGCAAATTGAGGTAAAGCACCACACTCCCTCGGCGACGACATTTCTCAATGTCGGTGTAATGAGACGTACGCTCGCCGATGTGGAAACTTGCGTCGTCCAGTTTCGTTGTTGCCTCGTTCTGCCCAGGTCTACAGTGGTGAGCCCTCTTTGTAGTAACCGTGTTTGTTGATCCCACACGGAACGGGAGTTTTTTTGGTTGGGTTGAAGTCTTCTTTCTCTAAGGACGTATGACTAGAGATATGTCCTCTTTCTTTTCTGTATAAATTTGAACACTTTCTATATTTTTCAATATCCTGTCTGATTTTTGAGTTTACAATGTTTGAAGGGGATGGTGGATTATATGCATTTTCTACAGTTTCAAGTGGTATCAAGATACCTTTCGAACACTGCTTGTGAGCAGAAATATATTCAATACTGAATGGGATAAAGTCGTCAGGTAGATTTAAAGCTGCTCGAACAACGCAAATGCAATAATTGTTGTTATATCAAAATGTAATCGAGTTGTTGTTCTTCTCTGTACATGTATCCTTAGTTTAGACTGACTGCACATATCAATTTGCTACTCCGAATCAATGAAATTGCACAATGAATCAACTAAATATCCATTCTCAATGTAAAAGTTTCAGTGTTTCCATATTTCAAAAATCAATAACGGCTCCGGCCATTTCCTTGCAATCAGGTGGGAGTGAGGAAGGAATATTAGTGTGATTAGTGTGTGTAGTAGGTAGGGACCGTTGGATCAGGATTCACCTTGAAAAGTGATGCCATCGTGATTTTTATATAATTTAGTTTTTTTTTTTTAAACTAACGCGAATAATATTTACGATCTTTTGGTGCGAATCTATCAATTCAGTAATGTATAGGGGCCAAGGATAAAACCCACGATCTTCTGCTTAAACAGCTAAAACGGTTGCCACTTAGACACCGGGCTCCTTATATAACAACAAACTATTACGAACAACGAATGTTCAAGCCGAACTCAACCCGAAAAAGTCTTAGATCGAACCGGAAATCGAACCGAGCCACCTCCAGCATTATCTTGCTTTGTAGCTGTGCCTTTGGCGGCTGAGCTAAGGGAGGCCCCTTAAAATGTCATTAATGTCAGAATCAGGGATTGAAGCGGTTTTTGTGCGTGATGGTCTGTTTATATTCGTACACTCATGCTCTACCGTCGTCTATCTCAGGCCGATGCCATAATGAAAGCGAAGAGAAGCGAAGAGCCGTGCAAAGCGTTGAAACTACACAGGGGATTATTGATATTATTCCTTACATTATTTCCAACGCTTTACATCGCTCCCACTATGGAATCGGCGTCACACAATACAAACGATAGAACAACATTCTAGCAAAAAAAAATATCAAATCACTATCATATGACAATGTGTTATTTCGTTCTAATTCATCAATTTTGGGTAAATTAAACCATTTTTGATTAGAAATTTTATTACCAGGACATCACTGCTTGCTAAGTTCGTACTGTACTTCGATAGCTTGTTTTGCAAGGGTTGGAAGCTAAAGCAGCCGATTATCACAGAAAATGCGTCATCTATGGTTACAACCACTCCTCCGGTGGCACAAACGTCATCCAAGTACACTTTGCTTGAAGCCGATTTTCTTGGATCTTTGGTTCGACTATTGGTCAATCATTGACCGCTGAAGTAAACAATACGAGTTTCAGTCTCGTTTAGACGTTTGTTGACCAAGGTTGCGGCTTGGACATGGGTGGAAATATATCAAGTGCGTGGTGCTTATTAAAAAATATGGTGATTGAATTATGTTTATCGTTGCAAATGTTAGAAGGAAAGGGCATCATTTTTACAGCAGCTGCAAGGACTCGTCATATTCGGATGTTTGGAATTTTGGGATTGATAAATCGTGATGATGGAAACGTATGGCTGGAGCTTAAACTAATGTGGACACCAACGGCATCGCCATCACCGACGGTGGCTTCATGAACCAACGAGCGTACCAGAGGATTGGTTACAACACTGGTCAGAATCCTTACAATCTAAGACAATCCACATTCTGAAACAGAGAAATCAGAATTAGAAAACCCAGCAACATGGGCTAGGACGAACGGTTTTGCTTTCCTTCCGAAGGAAAATGTGACCAGAGATTTTGCGCCTCGAAAAATCCCAACGACCTTGGCTAGTGTGCGATTTACCTTGTGAAGCGCTGGTCCGAAAGTGAGTGGAGAGTTACCCGTATGTGTTTATGAAGCATTGCCATAGAGACCTCCGTTTACCGGCATAAAGCTGTCCACGAGACAGTTGCGATCAGCTGACTTTTTTGTTTACCAAGAACTATTGACAGATCACAGTAGAACCATAGACGTAACTCTAAGACCAGAAGGTCCCGAAGAAACGTGCTTATCTTTTGGCTCAGCTCTGGTACTATCTTCGGTCCCAAGCTAATCGATGCACCCCTCGAAACATAGGAAAATCCACGAAGCCCTAGATTTATCTGTCAAACTTTCATAGCGAATCAAAACAAACATAGTGTAGTACTAGAATTTTGACTAGAATGGGGTACGTTAATCGATTTGCTTGGGATCAATAGGCTAGTCAAGTAGTGAGTCAATTTGAAATCGTTAGTTTCCACCGGTTGGTAGAACTGGCAGTTTATTTTCATATGAATATCTGCTTGGTTTATGTTTACATTCAGCACAGTTAACAGAAGAGCACTTACACACTCTAGATTTCTAGCTGTCAGTCAGTCACTGAGCAACGTCTCTTGGATCACCTTATTGAACTGTTGCGCTTAAAACGAGGGGCTGCACACATGGCTTGCTGACTCGTTACGCGTCAAGTTAAGACCTGCTTACACTAGCGCTAATATAAGCCACACAGCTATAGCATAGAGGTAACTCTAAGACTAGAAGGTCCCGAAATAACGTGCTCAACTTTTTGGCTCAGCTCTGGTACTATCTTCGGTCCCAAGCTAATCGATTCACCCCTCGAAACATAGGAAAAACCAATAACCCCTCATTTTATCTGTCAAACTTTCATAGCGAATCAAAACAAACATTGCGTAGTACTAGAATTTCGACTAGAATGGGCTACGTTAATCGTTTGCTTGGGACCAATAGGCTAGTCAAGTAGTGAGCCAATTTAAAATCGTTAGTTTCGTATTGATTGTTGGCTATAGGATTAAACGCTTACCGCTCAACCACCGGCGCCGCCAAGACCTGGCACTTGGATTTTTATTTCAATTATGAAAGGGGCGTCTTTTCCACAGTCTACCAAGGGCGCAGTAAAGTCTCACTGAGCAGTTCTTTCGGAAAAAAAAATTATGGCACATCTAGAGGAATCTCGATTTTAAATGGTCGAAAAATCTCACACTAGCAAATCAATCTTTTTTCATCTCTGAGAATCTAAACCCATCTACTCGCATCGCTTTCCACCTTTTTGCAGGAAATCTTAAAAATCATAACCAATCGTGCTTCTATCTATTAAGCGTGAGTGCATCTTACAACAGCAAAGCAAAAAAAAATCCTGCATCTTAATTAGAGTCGCTCCCCTCCAGGAAGTCCGAAAGATTACGGAAATCTGAAGAAATATCCAGGAGTATCCATTTTCAGCGGAAGTTTGGAAAAACCTCCGGAAGAAGCTCATGGAGAAACTTCCAGCGGAAGACGAAAGAAACTTCTAGGAGAAGTTTAAAGGATCTTCCTGGAGAGGACGAAAGAAACATCCTGAAGTAGCTGGAAAAAAACTTCCTGAGGTATTTTGAAGAAACTTTTGAAGTCAGAAGTTTCTTCCAGCGGAAGCCGGAGGGTTTTCGGGACCGTCGGAAGATACTTATAGGAGAAGTTTGGGAAAACATTCCAGAAGAAAGAGATTTTGACGCCAGAAGAAGCTTCCGAGACAAGTCGATTTTGACGTCGGACTACGTCTGTGATTTCTATATGGGGGTACACTTTGTGAAAACCGAAAATGGAACGTGTAACAAAATTATGAAAGATTTTGAACGTTAATAACTCAGCTTTCCCTGGACCAATTTCAATCATTTTATCACCAATCGATCACAAATATTCCTACGCATTTGCTAAATTTAGTACTTTATCAATTTTCAAAATGTCACTATTGAAAATTACTCGGATGTGCAACTGTTGCTATGATAATTAAAATTATCACCGATTACCTGCGAAAAGCGATTTCCCTAACACAGATTTGAAATGATGAAGTAATGAAATTGGGTTGTTAGCGGAATGCTAAATAAAACAGCAAAAGGGTTTATCTTCCATTTAATTCCACTTAATTATTTGTGGTATCCATGACAGATACGTATTTCGACTACAATGTGCAGTCTTCATCAGTGTCATTCCCACTAAAGAACTTATCAAAATCTAACCCCCTTAAGTACTCATCCCCTAGGTAAAAAAGTCAAGATCATAGGTATAAAAATGAAACTACAATGTGTTGAATCGGAACCTACCTAACTAATAAAAACCAAAGATTTAAGTAAGCTAAAGGAGAAAAATCTATACAAATCTCTAATAAGGAAAATCCCCAAAGGCCTGGTAGCCATCATAATGAAGTAATGAAATTGGTTTGTTAGCGGAATGCTAAATAAAACAGCAAAAGGGTTTATCTTCCATTTAATTCCACTTAATTATTTTTGGTATCCATGACAGATACGTATTTTGACTACAATGTGCAGTCTTCATCAGTGTCTATGATTTTGACTTTTTTACCTAGGGGATGAGTACTTAAGGGGGTTAGATTTTGATAAGTTCTTTAGTGGGAATGACACTGATGAAGACTGCACATTGTAGTCGAAATACGTATCTGTCATGGATACCAAAAATAATTAAGTGGAATTAAATGGAAGATAAACCCTTTTGCTGTTTTATTTAGCATTCCGCTAACAACCCAATTTCATTACTTCATTATGATGGCTACCAGGCCTTTGGGGATTTTCCTTATTAGAGATTTGTATAGATTTTTCTCCTTTAGCTTACTTAAATCTTTGGTTTTTATTAGTTAGGTAGGTTCCGATTCAACACAT